CATACAGCTATCCTCTGATTCTTTGATGCTTCCTACCCCCGCACTATCATGACCCTAATTCTAACTTACAAATCTGGCTAGACCAGAGCATGCACATGGGTACAGATAAGAGCTGGAAACACAGGGAATATAGGACAGATACGCTCTTGGAGAGTAAGCGAAAGGTGGGGGGATAAAGGGAGAACTAATCACAATGACCTACCTATAACCCCCTCCCAGGGTGATGGACGACAAGGGGGTGGGGGCAGACATCGGACAGTGCAAGACATGAAAAAACAATAATTTGTAAATTATCAAGGGTTCATGAGGGAGGAAAGGTGGGGGAGGGAGAGGAAAAATGAGGAGCTGTTACCAAGAGCTCAAGTGAAGAGAAAATGCTTTGAAAACGATGATGACAACATATGTACAAGTGTACTTGAGACAATGGATGTATGTATGGGTTATAATAAGAGTTATACGAGTCCCCAATAAAATGATTAAAAAAAACAAAATAAAACCTCTATTTGTCCTGATGTGGTAGGTAGGTAAGAACACTCTTCCACAGCTTTGTGTTCTGTTCTCAGGTAACAATGATTTTGAACTCCTTTTACCTTTTCATAACTTAAACACTCATAGAACCCACTCAGTAGTTAGCCATTAAAATAGGATAAGGGAAAAATACCAAACAAAACAGTATCAGGAGGAAGAAAATTATGGATATAGGCTAGGGAGTTACCATTCTTCCTGCTAGGTCCAGTTTAGCATCAATTTTTTTTCAGCCAGAGCACCTGTAGAATGAAAATGTAATTTATGTGTACAGAGTAACAAATTTCCACCACACTGTAATTAGACTTCCATGTTTATTCTAAAGATATTTCAGTAGAACTTAATTAATTTTGAAATACAGGATCCTACGTGGAATGAACCAGATTTAGATCATCTGAAAGAATGTTTTACTTAAAGGAGGATGCCACTTCATGGCCTTGGATATATTACTTGCAAACTATAAGTTTATAATTGAATACTGGCCTAATTGATTATAGCTATAACTGACTACTGACTTGTTATTATTATATAAGTCATTTATTTTTGTCATTTAAAACATTGACTACATGTTTTTAAAAAATTTGTTACAAATTGATTTTATGAATTTAATGTGACCTTTCTCCCTCTTTTTGTTTGATCCTCATATCAATGGATCACTAGCTTCTTCATTTAGAATGCTTTATTGTCATTAACTCAATTATGTATCTCTCCTCTTTTCTAATAGTCTCCATTCTCTCTTTTCAAAGAGAGGAGAAGACATTCAGAACTTTGAACTCCCTAGCTTGATTGTTTTCTGCCTTAATTTTAGGGACCTTTGAAGTGATCATCACAAATGTAAAGTATTGGAGAATTAATTTCAAGTGAAATCTCATAAGAGATTTTTGCCCAAAAGGAACACTTTGGGGCATTGGCCTCTCAACCAACGGAATGTGATGTGCAAGGTCCCCCAATGTTAGCCACTGAAGTGCACAGGCCTTAGAATGACCCTATATACTCTTTTGACCCTATATATACTTTTAGTCCTTTGATAGTCCTTAAAATATAATAGTTGATGCATATAAAAAGCATCACTTAGGAGGTTGCTTCAAAAGGTGGAAAATTTTATTAACTTTTATGGCTAGTTTTCCCACAAACCTTTTGAAGCTGCCTCTTGTGTATACATTTAAAGTGCAGTAATAATTCATTTTGTACACTCTAAATTTTTAGATGAGGAGCCCTGGTGGTGTAGTAGGTTACACATTGTGCTGCTAACCCCACAGTCAGCCAATAGAAACCACCAGCAGCTGATCAAGAGGAGAAAGATGAGGCTTTCTACTTTTATAAAAAGTTAAGTCTTGGAAACCCACAGAAGCAGTTCTAGTCTGTCCTATATGGTTGCTATGAGTTAGACTCTACTCGATGGCAGTGAGAGTAAGAAAGTTTTTTAAATAGAATAGATAGACTCATGCAAGAAATAATTTCTGGTTCTTTTATAAACAAAATATTTTTTAAAATATGCTAATATATCAATAGAATATGCCTAAATGCTAATGTTATAAATGTAGCTCTGGAAATGAGAACTCAAATAATCTGTAATTTGGATTTTCCTGGACTTTCCCTTTGAAATATTGATTTGCATGTATTGGCTATAGCAAATTGTTAACACCTCTGAACTTCAATTGCATTGGTTTGTTTGAAATTCCCCACCCTCAAGTACATGAAAATCCTATTCACATTTTAGGGTCTTCTAGTTAACTTTTTAAGGAAGGAGCCCTGGTGGCATAGTGGCTTCATGCTTGGGCCACCAACTGAAAAGTTGGTGCTTTGATCTCAACATTGCCCCTGTGGGAGAAAAGAGTTGGCAGTTGGCTCCTGTAATGATTGCCTACTAGTGACTGGTAGAACCCCAGTACTATGGTTCTTAGATATCCTTCAAGCCAAGTACTAAACTAACCTCCATGGCTTAACTTTTAGCCAAATCATAGGCTCATAAGGTGAATCATAACATGAGACAGGTACAAAAATGTGTGTGAATTATTGACTGGAAAGCCAGTTCTGTAAACTTTCTCCCAGATCACAATTTTTTTAAAAAGACAGCCAAGGAACGCAATGGGGCAGTTACAGACTGAACTACAGTATAGGGTTTGCTGAGTCAGAATCTACTCAGCAGCACAGAACAAAAACAAAAGTAGCAAGTTACCCATTGACGTAATAGTGACAAAGAAAGCACTGTAATTCTATGTAATCAATTAAAAGTCATTGTTGTAGGCTTAGCACCAGGCTATTCTTATGAAGAAAATAAGATCTGAGAATTAAGAGAAATAGAGAAAGAGGTGGTTTTAAAGATCAGACTTGGAGTTTGATACCAACCCCACCCCCCAACCACACTTCCACGATAAAAAAAAAAAAAAAAAAAAGCCAAAGAGAAACAAACAAACGACCAAAACCCTCACAACTGAACCAATAAGCAGCAGCATGATAAATGGAGAGAATAATGGAAGTTGTTGAAGATTTCATTTTACTTGGATCGACAAACAGCACCCATGGAAGCAGTAGTTAAAAAAGCAAAAGACTTAACAGCATTGGGCAAATCTGCTGCACAAGACTGCTTTACAATGTAAGAGAGCAATTTAAAGTAATTTGTGCCTGACCTGATGTGATATTTTCATTCACCTCACATGCATGTGATAGCTGAACAATGAATAGGAAAACTGAAGAGGGATTCATGCCTTTGAATTATGATGTTGACAAAGAAAATTAAATATACCATAAGCTGCCAGAAGAATGAACAAATCTATCATGGAAGAAGGATAGCCAGAATGCTCCTTACAAGCAAGGATGGTGAGATTTCATCTTATGTAGTTTCTTTTTCTTTCTTTTTTTTTTTAAATCATTTTATTGGGGGCTCATACAATTCTTATCACAATCTATACATACATCCATTGTGTCAAGCAAATTTATACATTTGTTGCCATCATCATTCGCAAAACATTTATTTTCTACTTGAGCCCTTGATATCAGCTCCTCATTTTCCCTCTCCCTCCCCACCACCCCGCCCTCATGAACCTTTGATAATTTATAAATTATTTTGTCATATCTTACACTGTCCGACGCCTCTCTTCACCCACTTTTCTGTTGTCCTTCCCCCAGGGAGGAGGTTATATGTAGATCCTTGTAATCAGTTCCCCCTTTCTACCCCACCTTCCCTCCTCCCTCCAGGTATCTCCACTCTCACCACTGGTCCTGAAGGGATCATCTGTTCTGGATTCCCTGTGTTTCCAGTTCCTATCTGTACCAATGTACATCCTCTGGTCTAGCCAGATTTGTAAGGTAGAATCGGGATCATGATAGTGGGGGGGAGGAAGCATTTAAGAACTAGAGAAAAGTTGTATGTTTCATCGTTGATACCCTGTACCCTGACTGGCTCGTCTCCTCCCCATGACCCTTCTGTAAGGGGGTGTCCAGTTGCCTACAGATGGGCTTTGGGTCTCCACGCTGCACTCACCGTCATTTACAGTGATATGATTTTTTGTTCTTTGCTGCCTGATACCTGATCCTTTCGACACCTCATGGTCACACAGGCTGGTGTGCTTCTTCCATGTGGGCTTTGTTGCTTCTGAGCTAGATGGCCGCTTGTTTATCTGCAAGCCTTTAAGACCCCAGACACTATATGTTTTGATAGTCTGGCACATCAGCTTTCTTCACCACATTTGCTTATGCACACATTTGTCTTCAGCGATCATATCAGGAAGGTGGGCACCCACTGATATGATTTTTTGTTCTTTTATGCCTGATACCTGGTCCCTTCGACAACTCGTGGTCACACAGGCTGGTGTGCTTCTTCCATGTGGGCTTTGTTGCTTCATCTTACGTATTTTGTGCATGTTTACAAAAGGGACTAGACCCTGGAGAAAGCCATAATGCTTGGTGAAGTAGAGAGCTTGCAAAGGAAGAGGAAGACCTTTAATGAGGTGGATTGACACCATGGCTGCAACACTCAGCTCAAATGTATGAATTGTGTGAATGGCGCAGGAAAGGGTTCTGTTGTCCTTAGGGTCCCAGTTGGAGCCTAAAAACAACCATCCAACCAAATATTTGATACAGCTAAAATGAATATTTAAGAGTCAGAGAAGGTACCAATCATGTTGTCATTAGCTAAGCATGGTCCGGTGCTGCCTTCTCTTTAATGTCAACCTGCATTTTTACAAGGCAATAAGCCAAACTCGTAATGAGTATAATCTGCTGGGCAGTACTTACTTAAACATAGATGAAATACTTTCCACCCAGATCCCTACATTCATCTATTTATATACATGGGCATATGTTGTTGGTTTTTTTACATATGTGTATGTCTATATGTATATAAATCTTCAAATGAATAAATATAAATATACATGAAGTTATAGCTTACAGAATTAGAAATGTAATTCAGTTTACTTCCACAGAATAAGATTGAAGATAATGAGAACTGAATTAAAGCTTACTTTCTTTCACAGAATTCCTCAGAGAGAGAAGACTGTAATAATGGCGAACCCCCTAGGAAGATAATACCAGAGAAGAATTCACTTAGACAGGTATGGATTTAGTCTTACTTAAAATAAAAAGCTCCCAACAGCAACAAAAAAGACAGGCAACTTGTAATTTGCCATTCCTTAAGCATAAGGGCCCAAATGAAGATTACTCGGAAGTTGGTCTGGCTACTGCCGTCCATTTCAATCAGGTAACTGGTTTCCCAGTCATCTCAAAAACAACTCGTGTGGAAGAGTACAGGACAGTCAGTTTGCCTGTGAGTAGTGAAGCCAAAATGAAAGAAAAGGCTTCCTGTTCAGGAGACAGAGCTTGAAGTGCTTTTTAAGAGCAGGCAGTAGAAGAATTGACTTTAAACCTTATTTTCTTTCCCCTTAAGAGTCTTGAAGAAATGTCTTATGATGAATAATAAAACTAATTTGTCTATAATAAAGCTAGGTTCTCTTCATTCTGAGAAGTATTTTATTTGTTTTTTCTAAAAGTCAAAGTAAAAAAAAAGTCAAAGTCATTTTTAAAGTTGTTTTTTTCCTTACCATTTTGGTACCCTTCTCCACCCCCCACCCCCACCCCCAAAAAAGATAGCACATTTCTGAGAATGCAGGTCAGTTGCAGTGGGGGTTGGGGGGCAGGGAGAAGTACTTTTCTTGCTGCTTATATTAAACTTAACATTTTTTTGTCACCCACTAGCAATCCAAATAAGTGTTACAATGTTGCTAGAAAAATAGGCATGTCACCTATTCATTTTTAATATAAAATTTGGTTACATAAGGAGCACCAACAGCAGTAGAAATAATTTCATTTACTTGAATTTATGGTAGTGGTATAGGAAAAAGGAGAAGAGCTCTAGTATTTGTTGAGTGCCTACTAAGAACCTGACATTTTTATCAAATGACTGTCATAATAACCCTGTAAAATAGATAAAAACTTCCGATCTGTAAATGAGGAAAATGGAGGCTTGTAGAAGTTAGAGCCAGACCTCAGTGTGGTAAGTGTTTCTATCTATCTATACCTTCTGGCTCCAGTTTCCTATGGGGTTGATCTATAAAGAAAAATATGTGAATCTTTGGCATATTAAAAATTACTGTGTTAAATCCTTTTTGGGTGGGCACTTTTTCTGTCAAAGCAAATATTTAGTAAATAGAATTGGTTCAATTCAGGGAAGTTTGTGAACAAGGGAATGGTCACTATGTGATGTTGAGACAATTACAATTCTATTTGAATTACAATTCTATTTGAAAATAAACACTGGATCTCTTAAGTCTGAGTAAGCATAACAATAATGAATAAGGTAAATTTGGAGGTGGAAGTACGCTGCCCACACTATGGAAACAACTGTCGGGAAGGGAAAAAATGAGGAGCTGATGCCAGGGGCTTAAGTGGAGAGCACATGTTTTGAGAATGATGAGGGCAGTGAGTGTACAAATACGCTTTACACAATTGATGTGTGTATGGAATGTGATAAGAGTTGTATGAGCCCCTAATAAAACGATAACAAAAAGTGTCAGAAAACCATGACACAACAAAAAGTTTTGGCAACTTTATTTAAGCTAACAAACGAATTTTCACTCTGCAAAGTTATAAATTAATTTTAATAGGCTGATCCAGATGGTCCATTTGGAAAATGGATAGGCTGATCTGTTGAAAATTAAACTAAATTTATCTCTCTCATACTTCAAACTGAAGCGAGAGAGAGGATTGTGCCTATTAAGTCCAGCACATACAGATGGACCAGCAGGTCACACATGGGACTAATCTGATTCATTTTAAAAATAAATGCATACATTATTGAATCATTTTTTACTTGTAAGATCTGTTGTGTGCAGCATCTGAAAGAGATATAATGTTGTTGTTGTTGTTGTTTTATTACTGTTTCAGCAGGTTCTCTAACTCCCTCTAATTCAACAATCATTTTCCCTTCACTTCCTAGTGCTCCAGAATGATTTTCTAATATTTGTCATTCAGTGTTGAGATCCAAGCTCTAGAGATTAATTAGGTCAGGGGGCTTCCCCCTCCTTTCTTTGTAAAGGGCTTTATCTCAATTCTCTTTGTGAAGAGTTTGAACTCAGTGTTCTTGGAAAGAGAAATGGCCTTTAGAAACAGGGAAGTAGGGGTCCTCCAGGGACCCTCGGAGTCTTTTAGCTTCTGGGTGTTTTAACAGCCCCATGAATGCAGATTTGTAAATTTATTACAGCGCCATCTGGTTTTTTGCTTGAACCAGATTACTGTTGGCTTGTGTCTGTCTATTGTGGTGGTCACTCCCTAGGAGCTTGCCCTAGCAATCTTAGGAAAGAGTGATGAATAGCAGAGGTCAATAGAAGTGGGTCACAGGGCAGCTGTCCTGGACTGCCCTGAACTTGATTACCCCATGGCTGATTTTTTTTAAAGGTAGGACATAATATATAAGCTGCTTAAACGCCTTCTTTTCTCTGTTGCACATAATAATGAAGTGCCATTTGCTGTTGTTAATGCTCCCCCCTTTTCTGTAGTTAAGTTCTATAGAACAATTTCTGTAGCCAAGTTCTCAGAGCTGCAGTATATTTATTGATGATGTAATAATTATATTACGTAGGTCCTAAACTTGAGATTCTTATGCAGATATTTGTAATAGGACTTCAGGAACTCTTTCACCATTAATAATAAAAAACCAGTAATGTTCTAACCAGGTTAGTATTGTCTGAAATTAATTTTATAGTTTACATATGTTATTCTAAAGTAGATTTTACCCATTGTTGACAGGACGTGACAACTACATCTTGACTTAGCTATTTAAAACTTGGAGGAGTTCAAAGCAAAGTCATCACTGCATTTCTTGCAGGCATTACAAGGGTTATAATGTAATATTATGAACAATTTTATGCCAAAAATTTTATAGCTTAGATGAAACTGGCCAATTCTTTGAAAATTGCAGTTTACCAAAACTAACACAGGCAAAACAGAGTCTGCGTAGTTTCAATGTCAGTGTGAAAACTTGACTTTGTTATCTGAAAGTCCTTGTGTTTTCACTAGTGTATAACCAAACCTTTGATCTTGTACAGACTCATTCAGAAAATGCAGGTGGAAAAAACACTTCCCTTGTATGAGGCTCAAATAACTACAAACCACAATTCCAAAATCTGATTAAATTCCCCAGAAAGCAAATATTGAAGAGAAATTGGGGAGTTACGACTCCCAGTGTCATTAAGCCATTTCGTATACCCTCTTTTCTTTTTCATTTCCAAAATCAGAAGGAGGGCAAGTAGGGGAAAACAAGAAAAACAGTGAGTATATCCGTGTAAAGAAAGTTAATTCCCTTTATTTTAGAGTAATCTTTTCTCCATTTTGCATTAAGTATGAACCTTTATTCAAAGCATGTACAAAGTATCTGCATTCTGTACACCCCTAACATTACTCCTAAAATGTGAGGCAAAAGAAATAACAGCCACTATTTTCATAGCTTTTCTATTCATATCTGCAAACAAGGGCAAAGGCCTGGGAGGATACATGAAAGTACTCATTACTTTGTGAAAAAGTAGCCTTACAATGTGCAACTCCTTTGCTTCACTTTGGTGCTAATAAGCTCTGTCAGCCCTGCCTTTCTCTGTAATTGAGTAAATTGTGACCACTGTCTAATCCCCCCTCCCCCTTTCCTTTGTGTATGTGTCCACTTACCATCCTGAGAACGTGGGCAGTGATAAATAAAGCATTGAGTAGCACTCTCTCAACTCTTTGAAAGCAGCATGATGCCAGCCCTCTAGTTGTATTTCTTTAAGTGTTTACGTTTTTCTGTATTCTTTTCTCTTGTGTAGCTGGAACCCTGGGGATGCAAAGCCATGAGAGAGGCCAAGAAGCTAACAAAGTAGCTGTCTCCCTTGTTAGCTTGTTCCTTTATTCTTTAAAAACAAGATAAAACCATCTGGCTCAGGGCATTACATTTTCCTCCCCCATGCACCTCTATAGATGGAGACTTCACCTGCAGTGAGGGTTTACATTGATTAGGGAGGGAGCAGTAATTCAAGCTTCCATCCTCTTCAAGGATACTTTGCAGTCTTTAAAGGTGCTGACCCACTGAGTTAAACTGTCAAGGGAGGATAAAAAAGTATCTTCATCCCAGGAGGTAACAGCTGCCAGGTTTTCAACACCTTGCACGCAGCTGGAAAAATGTCACAATTGTCAGCTGAAAGAAAAATGACTCTGTTGTCATTTTCTGTTAATGACTGGGCCTTATAAAAGGAACTATACAAGCCTTTTTAGTAGGAATAAGTAGCTGTTTTTCTTGTTCACCATACTCCCTATCTTCCGCAAGCCAAAAATTCCTACTGTGTTCTGAACAGTGTCTTGCAGTAGCTCCACACAAAAAACACCAATGAAGAGCTGAGCTAAAACTGCATGGAAGTCTGATGGGCATAGCTCCTTTAAACAGTTGGATGCGTAGGAGGAAAAAGCACATCACTGACATAGAGAATGACATTATCATGTGTATTAACAAAACAACAACAGTCATTCATAAGCCAGTGAACTGAGAGAAAACATACTGTATTTCTGCTCTTTGGAGGACAATTTGTTTTCAGGCAGCATCCAGATGGGTAAATACCACGACATTTCTTGTTTGTTTGTTTTTTCCAAGAGCCACTTCTTTTCTTGCTTTAAAAAAAAACCCCACTGAATTTACTTCCTTTAATAGCTCTATAATGTTTGTATGTGATGGCATTCCCTTCTTTCTGATTTGATTGATGAGGGGAAAGGTTTAATGAAGTCCCTGATATCAGGCAGGCAGGTTTTTTTTTCTATTTGTTTTAGGTTAGTCATTTTAATTGTATTGAGTAATTAGAAGGTACACACAGCCAAGGGAGCTTTGTTCTGATAATTGCTCAAGAAACCCATTCCCTATCTGCCTTTGCTTTGTGTTAAGACACTTCTCCCTCTAGTGGCAATAGTAAGCACTTTGGCTTGGCAGCAGGCAAGGTGTAATTGCAATATGACAAACTGTGCATAAGGGACTATCTTGTAAATACTTTAGTTTGGGTTTAGCATTATTTCAGTATATATGTGTATTTTGACCCCCTGTGAAACTCCTTACCTTTTTTTTTCTTCTTCTTCCTCCCTGAAGTGCTTTGGGCTTCAGATGAGAAAAAAATTGCCTGAGAAGCTTTATTAAAAAAAAAAAAATTACAGTGCATCCTGGGTAATGTTTTGCAGCTTGACTTAATTTTAGTCATCTGTTTTAATTACCTATTTATAAAAATGCTTTTGCATTTGTAGACATTATTTAATACTTTGGAAGAAGCACCTCATTTGAAATAAATAAATAAATTATACTTATTTTAAATAGTCCATGTA